ATAAATTTGATTGCTAAATTCGAAGTAACATACTGACTGAACTATTTTTTTTTTTATACAACTTAGAATGGCAAACAAGCTGACGGCCCACCTGATTGAAAGTGGTAACCGTCGCCTATAGACTATTAAAGAATATAACTCATCTGCATTCAAATAGACGCATTTATAAGTTCTTTTAAATCGTCACTCTTTTATTCTTTAACATTGGATTCAAAACAAATATCATCAAGAACTAATCTAACATTAATTAATCAATTTAACATTCACTAAACGACACCGAGAAAACTATAATTGGGGTAAATGAGGGTTCGGAAAATCCCCAACCACTTATATCGCTAACGGGGGTCGCTGGATCCCAACTATGCCTCCCTCTAACACCCATCACGTATTCAATACACGTCCAAGCAATTACAATGTCCAATTACATTATCAATTAGAAACCTTGTAAGTGTAGTGGCATCAATATAAGCCGGGGTTCGCATACGGCACGTAATTGGTCGTTCGCTTTCAATTTACGACTGTTTTAGTGTACGAGTTCATTTTATATCATTATTACTTTTTTTTTATGCAATTTAGAATGGCAAACAAGCTGACGGTCCACCTGATGGAAAGTGGTAACCGTCGCCTATAGACATGAGCAGTACCATGGACATAACAGAGGATACTCTTTCGCCCATGATACGGTCCCATGCGTTGCCATTCCTGAGGACTCAGGAGTATTATTGATATTACTTATTTCATAGTATTTAGTTGTTGGAATTAATGTGACGTATTTACGTCAATGTATATTTATACATTTGTCATGTTGGCGATATGAATTTGAGCATTGTTATGGACAGCGCTGTGTGGTCCCGGCATAGAATGGGTCACTTGTTCCTTTCCCGTGGGTGTTGTTAGAGGCGACTAAAGGAAATTAGTATTTGAAGAAAACCTGAGTTCTCAAGAATGTCAATGCATAGGGAGTATCATGGGCGAAGCAGTATGCTCTGTTATGTCCATGGTACTGCCAGCCATTCCTGAGGACTCAGGTGTTATTCCTCTGTACCCTGTAAATTCACTGCCATATATAATACTGCTCTTCAAACTGAAATATAGTTTATTTTACTAAGGCGTTTTTGTTTCAACTAAAATACATTAATTCGCCATTGGGTAGTGAAGTTAATAAACACATAACATTATGTTAATAACAAATTATGATATTTTTTTTAATAATTTTTGTTTTATGATACTTAATTGTAGTGACCAGTTTCCGAACACTATAATTATACCTTTTAATTATTCAAATTGATAATTTGATTGATTTCAAGCCACGTTTGATATACCGTCAGAATGAAGACTTAATCTCTACAAACCCATAAACTAAGTGAAGTATATAGTTTGAGGGGAAATAAAATACTAAAAAAACTCATAACAAAAAAACATACTGTAAGTAAACACCTATTTGTGATGTTATGTTCGAAAAAAGTAAGTAATTGTTGTGTGAAATTGACCATAATTAGTTTTTGTTAAAAATAGTTTTTAATCATTTGTTCTAGTAAAATAGGAAGGACTCCAGCTTTATCAATGATACTGTTTATTCATCAAATACTTTATCTATAAAAAAATTATATTATTGTAAAAGGAAATGTATTATTGTAATAAAAAATAAATACTCTTTCACGCAAACACTAATTAAAGGATTCGAATTGCGTTTGGTACACGGATAAGTTGCATTCTAATTTAGAATACAGAATATGTATACTGATCTACATGGACGAAGACATGAGATATAGTTAATAAGACGCTAAAACACAATAAAATATTTAATAGCTGAAGTATTTTGTTTTTCCTTAATTTAATATAACAATACCAAATATAATTTCTATTCTATATACATTAATTCCTTTTTAATTCGTGTTTCTACCTTGAAACAGTTCTGTTTGCATGGCTGTGTTTCGGTTTGAAGGGATATGACAGTGAAATTACAGGGTACAGAGAAATAACACCTGAGTTCTCGGAAATGGCAATGGATGGGGGGTATCATGGGCGAAACAGTATACTCTGTTATGTGCATGGTACTGCTCATGTTTATAGGTGACGGTTACCACTTTCCATCAGGTGGGTCGTCAGCTTGTTTGCCATTCTAAAAATTCGTATAGTCTCTAATTAACATAATAGTATCTATTTATTATTAGAAAAATTATAAATTAAGCACATAGTAAAGAATTCAATGAAATAGATAAAAAAGCCTGGAGATTGAAATAGCTATATAATTATAATTAATCATATAGCAATTGTAAATGAGGTTTCACTTACTAGCTTCATTTATTCTATTTTGATAAAATTTTATATCTATATGAAATTGTAATTCTTTTTATTTGTAATATATATAATGATATCATTATACGAAAATTTATTATTCAATTCCCAATCAGCCAATTATACGTCAATTAGTTTATCGTGCTTATAAGTAAAAAAACATACTTTTTAAAAGCACTTTCAGCTTTAATTATGTCTGTAGACAATTGTGAACCTAAAAAACATTGCATTTAGATTGATTTTTAGATAAATATAAGAATAAAACGGTATATAACAGTCAGGATTAAAACATGGAAGTGTCGAGGTTACGACAATGACACTGGTCGGGTTTCTTCGAGTCGCGTCACCTTACTGCCATATTCAGCGAGGGTACACACGCCTTATATAGGCAGAATCTGCTTACGATATCTGAGTAGCAACTGCGAGATGTTGGCTTATAAGAATTTTAAAAATGTTCCAAAAGCATAGACTACAACGATTGAATTTTAAATTTAAAATTGTTCGTGGAATTTTAATACATCGACTATAGATTCGAAATTAGTCATAGATAAATAACAATATATAGATTTATTTCAATACTTTTTCTATGCGACAGTATAGACGAATTATTTAAAAAAAAATATTGTAGTACCGATTGTTTATACATATTTGCGTGACTGTTATATTTTATCATTGAAGTGGCAATGGGCCAATTGCAGTTTGAACACTTTCTTCTTCGTTATCGTAATATGTTTTAAATCGTTTGCATAGTATGATGCTGGTATTTCCTTTACATCTAAGTAAGTTTTCGATCTATATTATTTATTATTAGTGGCTTCGCACGGGTGGACATTTTTACATTTTAAAAAGTGGCCATTAAGGCTGCACACGCGACGGAAGCTTTAAAATGGAGTAACTTCTCCCGTTTTCCCAACGTTTCCCTTCACTGCTCTGCTCGTATTGATCGTAGCGTGATGAAAAGTATACTATAACCTGCCCAGGAGTATGAAGAATATTTGTACCAAGTTTCGTTAAAATCCGTCAAGTAGTTTTTGTTTCTATAACAAACATACAGACAGACAGACAGAAAGAAAAAAATTTTACTGATTGCATTTTTGGCATCAGTATCGATCACTAATCACCCCCTGATAGTTATTTTGGAAATATATTTCATGTACAGAATTGACCTCTCTACAGATTTATTATAAGTATAGATTATACAATATATATAAATGTTTGTATAAAGTAAAATAGTTTGTATAAAGTAGCATATATAATGTAGATAAGATGAGTATTGTATTGTTTTTGTTTGCCGCGCAGTCAATTATATTTTCTGTTATTTCTGTCTACGATCGACTGGTAGATAACGCCATATGGTGTTAAGTCCGCCATTTACACTATCTAGGTGTATTATTGTTTATAAATAAATTATTAGTCGATAATCGAGGTAGGAGAAAGGTTCTTGGGTAGCGACTCCGTACAGACAAGCGTGGTGTGTTCAATCAGTTATCGTGAAATTTGGTATTTGGGATAGAGAAAGACATAATGTATGTTACTTTATATTTTCAGAAATTGATACAGGATTTATCACGCAGACGATATCGCGGGTAAAAACTAGTATAATATAAATTAATACTCATGTCTGTCAAAATCAAAACGGGCGGACAGCTCTAATCCGAATTTCAGCACGCGGAACTAACAAATGACCTCAGTCTACTGTAAACAAGTTTTTCTGTAACTAATACAAGAAGTCTTTTGGCATTTAGTTATTGAATTATTAGCAATATTGAACGACTGTAAGTTTTCATTAAATAATTTAATGTAAAGCCGAAAACAGATATTTAGTCCTCATTAAGAAATATTTGCAAAAAAGTTATTAAACATAATTGCTATTATGAAATTGAATATGAAAATATCGTTTGAGTATTGAGTATTGTTTGAGTATTGAAAATCTAAAGAGCTATAGAATTTCTATACTCAAACTTCAGAGAAAAAAACAGACAGTAAAATTATACAAACTTGCGTTCCATGGAAAAGTAGCGCTTAAGCGCTTCATTTTTGCAGTGCACCTAGTTTTAACTATCCATTTATTATTACAGTCTAACATCGCATTCATTCTACTAAAACTGACCGTGGATCTAAAAATAACGTCCATTTTGTATTATGCATATGTTTATTTTGATAGTCGAAGAAAATCCTCCAGATGAATACAATATAAAAATAAATTCACAGAAACAAGAAATGGAACGGTACGTATCAGGAATTGTATACATGAGAATGCACGCTTCTGTTACACTAAGAAATTGGAGACAAAGTATCTTCATACGCTTGTCTCCATGTCTTAAAGTTAACAGAATCTGTTTTATAGTTAACATTTAGAGTGGGATCGACGTTGTGAAGGATTTGCATTCACGTAGAACCATAGCAGCGATTGTTATAACCTCAAATACTTCATATTAACAATAAAAATAAATGGATTTTTTGCACCTAAGTTTAAAAGGACGATAAAGGTAATTTTCATTTAAAAAAAATGTAATAAAGAAATTTAAAAGTTCATCTTTATAACTAAGAAGAAGAATCAAGTTATCAAAAGTATGGAGTTTATTGATTCTGAAGAAACCGATTAAGTTTGATAAAGAAGTATTATTAGTTATAAAGATGAATTCTAATTTTAAATGCCAACACATTCTACTTGCATTAACAGAAATCTAAAAGGTACTCACCAGCACGGAACACCTCTCCACATCCGTCGCAGCGGCTCGCAAACTGGGCATCATAGCAGTTGCCACAGTAGATCTTGTCCAGTTTAGATCCGAACTGCTTATCCACCAGCGAGACGCGGCACTTCGCGCAGAGGAAGCACGCCTCATGCCAATGCTTGTCCTTGTACGACAGATCCTGGTAGAAAAGACATGAACTTAGATAAAGGACTTCGAAATTATAACCAAATATTTTACGACCATGTGATAAAAAGTGTTTTTTTATCGTCTACAGACACAAGGGGTACTGGACATAACAGAATACAAAGTACCACGGCATGTGTTGCCATTCTTGGGAATTATAGTGATATACCTTCATATCTTGTAATTTTACTGCCATATCTCAGTGTTCAATTACAAAATTTCTGGATCTGCTCAATTCATCATCATTTCAATTAGCCATAAATATTTATAGCAAGGAGTTACCTACATTCATCGACTCCCTGCAACATATGAGCTTATCACATTTTTTTTACTGAATTTCCAGAATTTTAGAACTTCTATTCCCAGTTAATTAGGTATAATTCTTATTATTTTTCGAGCTGTATAGCTAGTTTGCACTTTAATTTAATGTTGTATTTTTAAGAGTTTTAATAGTCTATATTAGAATGGATTCCTTATAGTTCTATTTCTATAGAGTCGAGATTATAGTTGTTACTAAAGGACAATTTATAATAATCTTAGAACCTATGCATGATTAAGCTTAAGTCTCGTTGAAAATTTATTGTTGTTTTCGACCTTATAAGATCGTTCTTTCCCTAGTTTTTTTTTTTAGACAAAAATCTTCGAATAAGCATGATGTTCTAGTTACTAGATAACGGTGACCTTTATTTAAGTTTAGTTTGTGGTACCAGTTTTTGCATTGCATCGTTGATGCTTGATGGTATAAATCGATAAGAGGTTGGTTTTACTTTGAATAAATTTGGTTAATTTTACAAAATTTCTTATATAAAAATATGTAGAGATGCAATATACGTGGATTGATTTGGTAGCGAGGGAGCCGCGTGAGTTTATGTGAATATAAACCGGTTTGAATATATAATAATGCAAATCAAATTTATGACAAACATATCTCGATTCGAGGTTGCTGGTAAAACAATGAGGTAATCATAAACAAAAAAAAAAAATTAAAAAATATAATATTATGTAATTTTATATTTCATCGGAATAAAAAAATCATTTTATATTCATCATCATCATCATATCACCCTTTAACTGTCCACTGCCTCTCTCAAGCTTGGGAGGTTTTGTCAGTAGTTGCCACGCTTGGCAGGTGAAAAAACTGCGGTTGCAGTTAGGCTTTGCAAATGATTTAAGAGGTACGCTGTATTTTATATTACGATATTTAAATATCTATATAAATTAAGAAACGGGGAACTAACTCAAAAAAGTTATATTTTTGTATTCCACAAAGCATAATGATTGAATTTTGTTTACGATCAAAATTAATTTAACAAATTCCTCAAAATATAAATTCGTAAATATTTCTCGAGTTAACTTGTTATTAATTCAGTATTCTCAATGATTATTCTATACCTACGTATAATGAACTGGACTTGAGTTATTTCGGTGTTTTATTTCAATATTATGCAAATTATAATGGTATTCATAAAATTAATTATAAAAAAATAATATAAGATTTATTAGTTAGGGTCATGATATGGTGTTAGTAATAAATATATGATTTCATTTTTTTACACCAGAATTTTTATTAAACTAAAATTTTCATGTATATTTTTTTAAATAATGGAATTCAGTAAAAATTGAATCGTTTTTCGTTTATTACAATAATTGCACGGATAAACCAATAGACCGGGGGAGAAGGGATTGTCAATAATGGGGAGTAATAGCTCCATTACTAGCAATATACCCTGTTAAGTTAACCTTTGAGTTTCGAGGGAACCGCGAGAAATTTCGTGTTCAATTCCAAATGAATTCATCATGAAGAGCTAACTGACCTACCTTTCTATCCTCACCTATCACCCCTCACTGGTGCCCCGCCAGCGTATACCGTTAGCGCAGGCGGGGATACCATTTCACTATCATCCTTTTAAATAATAGCATAGCACATTTATATATAAAGTCAAGGTTAAGAGTAGTTCGATTTCAAACATAAATATACTTGAACAAGGCATTCATTACGTGATTTAAATAAACAACTATATAGAACAAATCCAATTGGAAGCACTAAATGGAAATTACACACACCGCACAAATAAGAATAAAAAAAAAAAACATAGATTTCCCGAACTAGACAGCATCTGTTGTCGTAAACGAAGCGACACGTAGGCGGTAATTATAACCTTCGTCGTTGATGAGTCGAGATTAAATCAATAGCTGTACTTATTTGGGTGTTACATACATTTTGTGGGATTTAATATCCTGACGGTTATAAATTACTATTGCCATTTTCCTATGGTTCATTAAGTATCGTCGTGTTGTTTGCGAAAACTCCATGTTACCGCTTATATCGGACATCTTGGGTTATTTTAAAATATGAATCATCTCAATTTACTAAGATAAACATTCGACAATCAAATTTGTTTGAAGTTCAGTGGCCAAGTAATGAGCGCTATCTTAATCGTCTGAAACATTGACATTTGAGAAATACTTCAGGGTATAAGCATATTATTCTTTACATTAATCGTCTACAGTTATTGTATACAATTTTACATAATTTCACGTTGCACACACGACGTACGCGTGTAATAATCAAGTTTCAAAATAAAGCTCCCCTCATTCTGGAATCTATTCCTGGCGACAGTGCGAGGTGCAGAGCGGACATTTTAAACTGAATGTCGTAATGTCAATAAAATATGAATGTTTATTTTGGCCGATTACGAAATACTTAGTGGGTCTTGAGTAGTATAAATCTTAAAAGAATCGGCTGACGGATCCACCCATGATCTGTCAAGGTTGCCGAGTACGAAAACATTAACATAATATTGTATCCGTCCCAGAAATAGTTTCACTAGTAGCAACAGGCATCGAGTTTACAGAAAATACTCGACAATTTGTTAAAATCCAGTCTGCAACCGGCAAAACAATTCGGCACAATGTTAACAATATTGCTAATGTTTATTTTAGTGAACATGACGTTAATGTTTCTATAACATACTTGTAATATATACACGTACGTATTTTAGTTTAATATTTTGTAATTATTTTCGCTATAATAATGTTTTCTTTAATTCTTAAAACATATTATTACGTAGATGTAATTATGGAAACAATTGGATATTTAGAGTAAACACAAGAGATTTTGCAGCTGTTATACAGACAGGAAAAGTCATTCGGCAGCGGAGATAAATGAATAGTTTTGCGTAGCCGGTAGCCACGTACATGTATGTTATGTTGGTTTGGCACCGCTCGCCTGGGGCCGTGTGCAGAGGTACAGCAAAGAATCTGGGACGACTGGAGTGTCACTACTAAATTTGATCGGTGTAACAAAGCTAGAAAATGCCACAGATCCTATCGTTCTACATAAACACCATAATAGTTACGTAAATAAAATGACACATCATCTAACTAGTACGGAGACAGGAGATATTTCTAGAAGTATTAATTTATAGCCACTTCCGATAATTTCATACTGATGACTAGAATATTAAAATACCATAACAAACACTATTTTAACGTCAAATGATATTAAAGTTGTTGTCTACCTAGATGAAGCTGTATCACTTATAGATAATAAATTAGATGAAGATAGACTTATAAATTCTAATTTTCAAAGATGTCTATCAAAGTTATTATTATATTGTGTAAATACTATTAGAAACTATACTATCAAGCAGGACATGTATTGTACTTGTATACATATTACAGACAAATAGAAACAATGTGATCAATAACAAAATAATATCATACAAAAAGATAATGCATCTAGAAAAATTTGGAATACTGCTTATGCGCAAATTAAATTCAATATAAATTCTGATTGACTATGTAAAGAAAAGAAGATTATCGAAAGATTGGCATTTTATATATGTGAAGAACAATTGGCCTGAATCTCACCTTGGAGTCGATGCCGATGGTCTTATTGCATTCCTCACAGCCGTTAGCGAAGACACTCTCGTAGCATTTGATGCAGTACGGGTGCTCATCTCTGAGCACGTAACGCTGACCCGTGAGCGACTCATCGCACTGCCAGCAGCAGAAGTGACCGCTGTGCCAGTCCTTGTTCATCGCCTTGGTGTACTCGCCACTGAAAATGAGCTGTGGACAAAGAAACAAGAAGTTGAGGAACTAGTAACTAAAAACGTTTAGAAGGAATTTCTAAAAGACTTTAAAATTAGGGTGTTTCCAGAATTTAGAATTTCCGTAGTAATAAGTCAATTGAACGCAAGTGTGTTTATTGCCTAAACTTACGTAACGTAAACAGAACCATTGCATCTTTATTTTTAATATTAGAATTTATTATAGAAATTATTTCATTGATTTATGGTTATTTAGAAAATTTAAACTATAAATTGCCTATAAATACCTTTAATTAGGTCGGGTATGTGAGGGTGGCCAACATACAACGCCTGGAATATAACATATCGCAAGCATTGTATATGTACATGTCACTTATAAGGTCGAACACGATCGGTAATCGACACTGGTTGACACAGACACACTGGCGTCACATCGCACTGCGCACGCGGTTTGGCCACCACAACACATACCCATCGTCGTTGCTGGTGGTGGTGTTGGTCTGCTCGACTTCTGTCACCGTCACGTCACCATCCTTGGACTCCCTACGTTTGGAGGTCTTTTTGACCTTCCTTGTTTTCCTTTCAGTAGTGGTATACTGGACTTGAACGTCGACGTCGGCCATTGCGGTCCTGATAGCCGGTTCAGTGCAAGGAAAGCGATATCACCGGACGCGGTCACGACCCGAATTCGAATGGCGAGAAACGGTTGCCGAATCACAGGAATTATTCCAGAATGCTTAGCGTCGCACCGCACGGAACGGTGGGGGGAGTTTGGGATTTAAATTTGGAAGAGTGACGGAGAGGGCAGGTGCGCGGGCGTTTACTTTCCGAGCGTAGCGACCCGAGAACCTCGCCCCGCACCATCCGTAATCCTGATCATCTATAGAAAGCGAACCGACGCCGTTTAGCCGGCACTCTTCAACAGTATATAGGGCAATATATATATGCAAATGTTATAACGGTGTTAAGCGCTCCCTTATCGCTTGGCCGAGATTCAGCTTAGTTATTATTGCCGAACAATCATTGATTTACTCTTGACGTTCGACCCAATAAGTGCACAATTAGACATTAGCAAGGCGCATCTATTCCTGGCAGTTTAGATGGGTTTTGTTTCCAATCCATAAAACTTTGTTATGCGCCAAAATCAACAGTAATTGATGGGATAGTTAATATTAATGTACCAGTGCCAAGTTAAGGTTGGGATATTATACCATTGACAAGAATTATTATTTATTTTTTTATTACACCAAGTTTAAGCGTGTCTTTAATTGGCACTATTTATTATTTATTTATTTAACATCATCATGACATTCAAAATAACATTTCCTTTTAAACTTTTATAGGTTGTTTTTTATACTCGTACAGAATTATTGATTAATGTACGTACAGCAATAGACAATAAATGATTGAAACGATGAAGATGATGACCAATTCTCTAGTTCACACAAACGAACTATTTATTTATTTATTTTTTGGAAAACGTACAGCTGAATTACAGTCAATACATAATCAAATTTATATCTATGTTAAGCCATGAATCGTTTTCACATTTGCGAAACATTTCACATTTGAGAACATATAGTAGATAAACTGAACATGGGCTAATTTGAAAAGATATTTTGTAAAATAGTGAACACGTTAAAGGCATTGCGTGCAAAACTACAAGTACGTATACGCAGTGGATTGAATGTGTTGTTATTGATAACCTAAGGCTAAGCATAACCTCTAATTTTTTTTTTATAATCTTAATTACATCAACTTACACATACATACTAAAGAATGTTTATAGTAATTTTCAATAGTAAAATAATCTTTGCTGTTAATTATAAATTAATTTTAAACTTACTAATAAAAATAAAATTAAAATTTACTAATTAATATTTTAATTCAAGAATTTAAAAAATATTGGGTATATTTTTTTTCTATTTTATTTCTATCTCTATTTTTTTATATTTCACTTGTGAGTTTATTGTAAATAGACAAAACGAGATTAATTTACATATATTTTGATTACAAAAACATAATTAAGGCTGTCTTATTTAAATTAAAACACACACTTTAATATATTTATTAACAAATAGGAATATTTAGTGAATTTTTTAAAAAAATATTTCAACCAACATCTGTTCTAGTACGGAAGGCAATGCAGACCTACCGACCTAGGGTCGCACCTAAAAGGACTGTACACCAGTTACCATTGAGGTCCGGTTAATTACACAACTTGATTCATCACTTCACGTCTAGTATGAAGGCTATTTATATGACTAAAAAAGTAAAGTCAAGAGAAATTGTTCAATTCTTTTTTTTTTTTTTTGGATTTTTAAATATGGAAACACTAGCTGATACATCAGTTGTTTATTAATACAGGCTCAACTTCTGTTTTTTTTATGCAATTTAGAATGGCAAATACGCTGATGGCCCACCTGGTGGAAAGTGGTAACCGTCGCCTATAGACATGAGCAGTACCATGGACATAACAGAGTATACTGTTTCGCCCATAATACCCCCGTGCGTTGCCATTCCTGAGGACTCAGGTCTTATTCCTCTGTGCTCTGTACATTTATAGTCATAACTTCAAAATAAAATCTTCAACATTGAAATATTCTTACATTTTTTAATTATTTATATCTGAATAATTCTATTTATAATAATGGTGCTCTAGTATTTTTTTGTATTTTATATACTAGCCATATCCCGCGGCTTCGCCCGCATGAATCAGTACATAAATCACCCTATGTGATAAGTTAGGATATAATTTACCCGTGTAGCAAATTTTATTTATATACCTTCAGTGGTTTTTGCGTGTAAACTCATAAATTCATACATTCATCCTTACAAACTTTCGCATTTTTTATACATAATATTAATAGGAAAGTATTTGGATGTGTTGTGAAAGATGAAATTATATTGGTATTGGTATTGCAGGCGTTCATAGGCTACGGTAACCGCTTACCATCAGGTGGGCCGTATGTTTGTTTGCCACCTTAGTGGTATAAAACAAAAATTAAAACCGTCAGTATTTATTTAAGGGAGTGTTCTACCAGCGAAACAGAAATTTTCGCCAAAGAAATAATAGGTTGAAAAATTATAAAATAATTTTGAAAATATAGATGTATAGACACCACCGAATATATAATATTTACTACATAATAATAATAATATTTTTTATTTAAATCAACTTAATTACAAGCGTTTTTGGATAGTAATTTTTTTATGATTCTACCACCTATTCAGAATGCAATTACAGCAGAGAAGAAAGGACGAGAAACTCAACTGTTGCTTTTTTGACTTGATGACGATTTCACAGTTATAAATTTGTATCAATACAAATTAGCAAACGGCATAAGAGCCATTCAAATTATTAGACAAATTTTGTCCATTAATGCAATTATTATATTGAAATGTATGTCTAACAAAATATATTCACATATATATCAGATTTAATTCATAATAACTTAAATATCCCATGCATGGCCATTGTATATTGGCCTTGTATTAGTAATAAGTCTTGTTCGTTAAGTTTTTGTTAATAAAATTTCAAAATTTTGCGAATGGCGATTAAATAAGAAAATTATTGCTTTTCTCAGAATAGTACTTATATGTGTGTAGTTGTTTTACATTGAAATAGAAATTTTAAAAGAGCAGTAAAAGGAAACAATAGTACTAAAAACGGACGAGCCTCTACGTCGTTTCAACCGCAATGATCGTGTACTTTTCCCAATAACAATTTGAAGTAATGAGCCATTTTTCTCGTATGTTTTCCTTTCAAATTTATCGACGCGTCCACATCCCGTCTAGACGTTCAGAGTAGCCGGCCGATGTTTTCGGACCTCGCCTCACCAAGGTCTGGGTCGGATCCATTCATTGGTTTATTTTTAAACGATTTCGCTTACGTTTCCGCAGTGGAACGATATGGTACACCTGGATGTGGGATGCGCTTAAGAAAATCGATGCCAAAGGAATCATTGTTTATTACTGGTAGCATTTTGCAACCGCTGCAGTTAAATGTGTTTACAGAAACTTTCAACACTAATTTGTTTGTTGTATTTATAAATAAGTGTTCTCTATGTGGTAATGGAGTATGAACACCATGTGTCATGACTCTCTTTCATTCTCAGGGTATTATAAGAACTAAGAGAACAAAGCAAAGTACAATAGCATAAGAGAAGGAACACATAAAAAATATCTATTGCAAGCCATTATGTCAGTATCGTAGTTGATTAAACTGTCCTATATGCCCATAGCTATGAGATACCGGCATAGAATAGGCCACCACTTCTTTTCCCGTGGAGGTTGTAAGAGACAACAAAGAGAGGGCGAGGGATGGACAGCAACGTCCTTTTTAAAATATATCCAAAGTCTAAAACTGCGGTTGCCAATCTGCCTGTAAAATATGGTAACTACTGACAAAACCCCTTTACATAGTCTCCTGCATAAGGAGAGTTTTGCCATTAGTTACTATTGTTGGCAGGAGGGTTGGCAACCGCAATTTGGCTTTTGGAGATGTTTTGAGATGTTTTGAGAGGGATGCTGCTGCCTATCCCTCCACCATAAGCTTTAACCCATTGCAAACTGTTGATTGTTACTGATTTATTTTTCTTTGAACAGTTTTATATAAAAGCCCTTACGGTTTGAAATCCACGATGTAAAGAATGCCTTTAAAAAACGAGTAAAGAAAATTATTAGAAAAAAAAAGAGTATGAATAAGTAATTATTTAAATTGCTCTCTCTCCAACGTCAAAGTGAGAGGCTATAAAACTATAGTCAAAGGTTAGTGAGGCCATAAAAATGACACGACTAGTCAAGCAAACTTGACGGCCTGGCACCGCGAACCATTTTGAGTGATTGATATATTCAATGATGTGTAACATAATTTTAGCACCCGATATTTGTAATGATTCTATAACGAAGTGCAGCAAGATAGAATGGATGCATTTTCAGAAAACAAAAGTTCTGACATTTTAATTTAATGTAACAGGCATTTTGCCTTGCAAAAAAAGAGCAAAAGTCGTAAAGAAC